GGATTCTATCTCATTTCGGAAATAAGGTATTTTCTGGGAGTTCTCTGTGGGGGCTTTAAAAAAAGTTAAAACTCTCTAAAAATCTTTTAAGCTTAAAATCAGAGCTGTGTGAAAACAAAAGCAGAGTAGTACTAATAGTTGGGACTGGACAGGAAGGGACAGGGAATGCCTAGGAAAGCCCATCAGAACACTTTTGAAGGTGAAAGCATTCATTTTGATGTTGACAGACGTTTGCCTTACAAGTATATGTCAATGTCAAACTATGCCAAGTACTCACAAATATATGTGGACTACAATATATGCAAAATATATCCCTCCAAAATAGTGAACAAATGCTGAATCCAGTTAATGATACGCAGGCAGCATATTTAAAAGCACTCGACTTTTGCAACTGGCTTTGAAATTCCTCAAATTAAAAGGTGGACTAATGGATTGAGAGGTGGATAAATACATATACATACAGTCAGAGCAGATACATAAGGATTTAGATGAAGTATACAAGGGCATTTACAGTACAATTCTTTCATAATTATGGGGTAAAATCCTACCTAATATTTACAATAAAAAGAAAGACATATGACCTTCAGTTTCTTTCCACTGGTATTGAGCGCAGGACTTCCCATAGTTAGATACTTACATATAAAATGATCTAACGGCTCTTAAGAATGCAAACTTTGATCAATAATTTGTGAGAATTCCAGTCAACCATGTCTTATTATCTTACCAAATGCACCTAAAATTAAGCTATATTAAGGTTTTACATTATTATAGCATCTTCATGCATGTTCTGGTCCTATCTGTGAAGAAGTGGGAACAAAAAGTAATACCTATTTACAAGGAGGTTAGAAGACAAGCTAAGGCCAGTTCTGGGTAAACAGGGGTTTTGACTTTTAAGTTGGATATTTATTAAATTTTTTGCCAAAGCTGGGCGGTGATGGCACATGCCTTTAGTTCCAGCAAATCAGGAGGCAGAGGCAGGCAGATCTCTGTGAGTTCGAGGCCAGCCTGGTCTACAAGAGCTAGTTTCCAGGACAGGCTCGTAAGCTATAGAGAAACCTTGTCTTGAAAAACCAAAAATCGGTTACCAAAGAGATCAATTTGATGAGGTTATCTTAAAGAATACTACTACCTACAAACTACTCAAAGTATTAAGATTATTAGAGCTAGGTCAACGATGATATGTGAAACGAAATTTCACTATCTTTAGCTTAAAAATAGGCAACTCTAGTTTAGTATCAGAACACGTGAAAACTGATCAACATCGAGATTATTATTCTTGAATTCTTGGGTAAGTATTAAGTTCTGCACCTTTGTTGTTTTTAATACAAAAATACACAATTTTTTCCTTAAGTGTCAGGATCAAGAAGGCATTAGCACGGACCAAATATGAGAATTAACCCTCCCTCAAAGCTTTCAAATAGTCTGCCTCACCAAAACAGGGCACTATCGTAAATATTTTATCAAGTATACAAGGCCTTTCACTTCTTTCTTTCCCACAAAAGCTCAACTCAGAAGTGGGAGAGGAACGGCAGAAGCTGGGAACTAAGTTCGGGGAACCGCTGAACTGTTGCAATTCCTACCCACAGCTTCCGAGCTCGACTTTAGCACTTCGGAATGAGGCAGAGGACCTCAGCCACCTACCTCCCAGCACTGAGCAGCTACGCTTTCCAAGGCCACCCCTAGCCCCCATGACCTCCAAAGGTTCCCCTAAAAAAAAAAAAGGCTCGGAACCGCCTGCTTTTCCCACAACTTGTCCATACTCCCTCCCAGGCCAAAGCACGAAACAGGATCTGGGAACAAAAGACTGGACAAGCCTTCCACATGAGGAAAACCTCATCACCTGGAACTCGGCAAACTCTTCACAGTTCACACCGCCACTGGGCGCCGCCATATTGGACGACCACGAGGACCCCGCTGCTGGCCAATCACCATGGAGCAGAGGTGTCCGCGGTGCTGCCTGATAGCAAGTAGTGGGAGCCCGGAGCAGAAACCGCGGCTCGCCTTTCTCTGAGCCTTTCCACTGTCCCTAGAGCATAGAGGTGCTTGTTAATAAGGAACGGGACTCCGGAGAAAGCGTCGAAAAACAGGGGCGTTTGGGACAGTGAGGGTGGGCAATCGGTGAGAATGACTAAGTCCTTTTTTTTTTTTTTTAAAAAAAAA